AATAACTTTTAATAAAGTATAATTAAAAGGGATATTATAGTAAATATATTAATATAGGAGGAAGGATATAATAGTAATAATAGTAGTTAGGGACTTTATAAAGAGGAAGAGGGAGCTGCCTTTTTATAATCTAAGTATTATAACTAATAATTACTAACCTACTTTATAAAACTATTATTATAAAGGCTAAGTTACTTTATAATAAATAACTCTTATATAGCCTTTTGCTTTTATTTACTTAAGGATTATACCCTTTATTATTATAATATTAAATAAAGGTTTTTTATTTATAGCTAAATTTTACTATAGTTTATATAAAAATAAATTAGGGCTAATACCTTAATAACACCTTAAGAAAAAATATAAAAAAAAATTATAAAAAACTATATAAAAGTATACTTTAAAAAAGGAAAAGTAGCTTATTAAGGGTCTAAGGAAGGAAAAGGTATTATAAAGTTATAAAGCTAGCGAGTACTGCTAAAGTTACTGCTTAAAGGCTAGTTATAGCTAAGATTTACTATATAAAGAAGCGTAAATCCCCTTAGTTTAAGAGGAGGTTAAAGATAAATATAGTTATTATATGCCTCCTAGCTGCTTTATCCCTTTATAACAACTAAAACCTCTCCTTAACTCTATCACTCTCTCGTACGCCGCCGCTTCTGACAGGTTCTAGCATCCTAGAACGTCAAGTAACGCTGAAATTGGCTAGTGAAGCAACCTTTTGGTAGCTTTCGTGGCTGTGGCACCTATCTAGGTTACTAAGAAGAGATGATTCACTCTCGGCATCTATTCCGCTATTGTCATTATTCAATGCTAATATTGCAAATCCATATCCAGAATTTCACGAGTCTTTTTACAACGCTTCTATGATATAGCACTGGTGACAAATACAAGCCTTGATTGCAGGAACTTCGACGATGAAAACCTAGAGGACAAAATGCTATGTAGTCAGGAAGAGTCTTGCTCGTGCGTAGCTCGCAAGTTTCCATCAGTGTTTCTCAGCTTGTAACGAAATATCTGCAAAATCTCGTAAAACACAATAGGCCTATACTCTTTATTCCAAAAATACTGGAAAACCACTCCGAATTAGAGCGCTATCCTAATAATAGACATCAGTTTCGTAACATTATAACCTTCTAGCCAACAAGATCAAGGCTCATTAAGATCAAACACCAGTCCCTAGATACACACCACTACGAGTAGAGCCACCTCTCAGAATGTGACTCCGGAAGTACTCTTCAATGCCGGTCCAATGGTATTGGCGAGATTACAAACAGATTTCCGATGACCCTGTAGCTTGGTATTTCCAACTTGCAGGGGTACTAGCCATCTCCGTCCACAAGGGTCATTTTATTCGTACTCGTACTCCGTATTTGTCACACTTTCAGTCGAGAGAACAGGGCCAATATCTACTAGTGTGTGTCTCCATATTACTCAATACAGGCATTGCTCCGAGTATTCATGACTTGTTAGATGCGTCTGTTAGGGTAAGATAAGGCCAGCTGCGCTCCCGTTGTCTAACGTAGCGGGTACGATACTTCAGAAACGCCCCTCGTTATATACCTAGCAGGACGGTACACTTTCCGAATGGATTGGCCGGCTAAGGGCCCGTCCCGTCCGTTCCGGATATTGTTAGTGGTTTAAAAACAAGCAATGAGGCTAGAGGAGAAGATCAGAAGCGACTTCGTCTAGGTTTCTTTCATGATCAATGTGCCTGTATACTAGCGTAGAGTCTCAGCTCGACCCGGGGCCGGGCCGCAAGTCAGTATACTGTGGATCAATATCGCCAAAGTCATGCGAGGACGAGCAGAGGTCCTATGTAGTTAAACAGCTTTTCGTTTTGCTATGCAATCAATATTTGTATAAGGGAGACTTCTGGAAACATCCCCGGCTGAAGAAAACATGTTGGATAGGACACCTTGTCGGGCGGTGGTTACGCAGTGCCAAGTATAACCGCAGCCGACTCAACGTATCAGCGCCTCCCGATGATCCTGGCATTTGCGGTGGCTGTATTTATCCTAGGCTTAATTTAGTCTTCACCTGAGTTCCTAGTAGATACAGCCTGCCGTTCAATTCAAAGTGGTTGGTGCGTTGCGAGCCTCTTCGTCCCGGTTTCGATGGTGCCGGCAGCGCGTCACTCAACAAGGGCTAGTCAGGCCCTGTCATCGGTATCGAATCTCCGGTCTGATGTACACCCCCGTACGTGTCCATAATTTACCGTTGATTACATCAATTCCCGAGGACAGTATCAGTTCATGTTGGTCTTCACCGCTATACATAGAGTAATCCCTTGTACACCCACTATTCAACAGGTTTAATTAACCCCAATTTCAGTCATGCGGACGGCAATCGAAGTGATGAAAGTGATAGGTCGGCTGTCATCTGTCTGGTCTCGCATCTTACATGAGCGGAGAATCAACGATTGGTGCCCCTGGTTGGTACTTTGTTCAAGACACCTATTTACGGCCGATTACCTTAGCAGTTACTTAGGATGATAGAATGCTTGTAATCGACGGCGCAGAGGCGATCAAGATGGGCAGTAGGCCTCCCATGTAACGCATGTACTTCGTACTAGGGCAAGGATATACCAAGCACGAACTACCTAGTATAAACTCGACAACAGCCACGTAGAGCTACATATCAGGTATATCATCACATGGTCCGTACGCCGCATGTCGAGCCCTATCATGCTATTTGCATTGTATCATTTCACGAACACCCCTCAATAACCATTAGCCAGCACACTTTTGGCCTTGAGTACTCCCTGTATTTGCTAGCGCTGTGTAAACAAAAAGGCACATGTCAGGGCGGGCTTTGAGTTTCAAGGCAGGGGGTTGTATGAATCATCTTTGAAGGTTTGACCATCCATATCCAACCCCTAATTGTGCCAAGTCGAGTAGTCGGATGGTATCCGCTTCTTCATCAGTGGCATCTGCACTATCCATACTCTTTGGACCAGTAGAATTACAGTGACGACCCGGAGGAGACTCCGGTCGAAGAGGCAGATTAAACCCGGGAACAATCCTGGAAAGAGACTAAGGACTGGCTTTGGCGAGCGGTCGCCTGTCCATGAGCGCCTGGGGTGAGATGATCCATACCGTGGAGGGAGTGGATGCTAGATCCTTTGTTGTCGTGGCAAAGTGAACATGCATCCACCTATCCAAGGCCGCTGAAATGGTCAGGCCAGCTCCAGAGAAGTAGAAGCGCATGGAAACGAAAGGTTTCTATCGAAGAGTGTTCCAGGCCCACTCTATGTGGCAGCATCTACAGAAGTACAATGGGTGAATCCCAAAATAAGCGGAATCCAGCACTTGGTGATGAGCAATGGATGGTTGAGTGATCAAGAGAAACTTCTTTATAGGCAATAGAAATGGGAGATTCTAGGGAATACGTCTCACTCCGGGTGATTGTTATAAGATGTTTACAGTAATGCAATAGTCAGATGTCAATTAGTAGTAAGGCATGCCAGCTTAAAAATCCGAAAAGCGATACTTTTTCAATGTGGCATGCCAAATCTCAAAATCATACATGACATGGCGGAAACCAGCTGAGAGTAAGAAATAATGCGCTTTTTTGGATGCCTTACAAGGTTCTTTCTTCGACTTGCCTCCTTTTTGTGAGGCAATCCCCGGCAGTTAAAACTGAGAAGCCAAAGAGCACTTCACTTCAGAAGTCAGAAGTGGAAGCAACTGCTTTCAGGTTTATCTTCAACAGCAAATAGTATATATGCTACGGTTCAGACCGCGTATGCAAGCCCTAGTTCCGGTGGCAATTTAAACAATGCTGCACCCCGTACAGCCATAAAGACGCAGGGGTTGACTAATAACCTTCAAAGGCTACCGCCAGTATCGAGCGACTTACATGCACCCACATGGAAATACAGGCATATATCGGTGTAAACAGCAGACCGAAACACCAGATGATTCGCCGCAGTCACCTTTGCAGAGATCACACCTGGTACATTAGTGTCTTAGCCTACTGCAGATTTCTCAAGAACAGTCAGAGCAATCCATTCTTCCTGCACCTCCATATTACTGCAGCCAGCAGATGACATGGATTGTTGGAGTTCCTTGTGGCAGATTGGCAGAAGTTCTCCCAGGGCATTCTGATTTGACCATCTGAAGGTTCGTATGCCAAGTCAGCACCTATAATAAGCCATACCCAACCAGAAGGAAGACTGGCAGACTTAATCCGACCACAGTGACCTATCCGGTCGATATGTCACGGTCACATGAAGTATAGGCGGTGAGAGGCTTGCTCGTCTCTTATTGTAAGAACCGCACATGGAAATGGGCCCTCTCATCCCCAGAAGGAGAAAGAAGAATAGTCCAAGACAAATGTGAGGCGTCGGCGGTTAGCCAAAAAGCGGTGGGAAGATCGTTGAGGCGGCACATGCAGGGAGGTATGCATGCATGCTTTCTGATTGGCGAGAGGTTCCAACTTGTTAGCATCAAAGCGACAGAGACAAGGCGAAAAAGAAAAGGATGCAATACCGTCGATGCATCAATATGCTGACAGACAATTACCGACAACTCATAGCCTTGTCTTTTGACCAATCATGACCAAAGTTTGCTACAACGAGTGACATATTCTTGGAGCATTTGCAGGTTTACTACACGCCCAAGCATATACGGTCTCCATCATTCCAAACACCCCAGACCATAGTCATTTTCCTCTCTTGACATTCACTCTTCGCATATCAGTATGGCTGTTCGAGCAGTTCAGTTGCCAGGTTGTCCAGACCGATGTGCCAGAATGTAATTTTATCGCCGATTGGTTGCTGTGCTCGAAGATGGGACTGCATGTCCGCTATTATATAAAGGGCTGACCCGTAGGAGGTTCGATTCGAGATATTCAGGAGCCTGAAGACTCAAAGTCTGCATTCAGCAATCGCAGGTACATACCAGGCGATAACTTAGCGACAACCTCGTCTCTGGATATTAGCAAAGCTAAGCTATAAGCTTAGTCCCAACGCTTCAAAATGTCAATCAACGCCTGTTATGGCCATGGACTTCACCGTCGCTTGGTCCACGTCTCTAGAGAGTTGGCTCTTTTATGTCGGTTCGTAGAGACCTCTTGATTCGTATCTTGCGGAATATCGACTGACACATTCTAGGTTGTATCGACGGCCCCAACGGCCCCAACGGATTCAACGGCTTCAACAGCTTCGACGGCTTCGACGGCTTCAACGCCACGTTGCTCATGTCGTCAATCGTATGGAAGAAGGATGCGAATGCAGAACACGCATTGAATCGGAGAATTCAGACATTGAAATGGTCAACGCGGACGCCAATTGACTGGTACATCCTGCCTTTGAGGCGCGACTACTCCGTTTTATCCACACCATCAATTGATGGCGGTTAATATGACGGACTTGAGAGGCACTGCTGTTGTTCATTTAGAGGTGTAAAGCGGAACATTTTGACCTAAGAGGATGACAATGGGAAGAGGCGAAAAAGCGCGGGAAGATTGGAAAAAGGGGTGGCTGGAGAGGGGAGTCTGGTACTGGTCATGTTTCACTGCAATCGCTGGCGCTGTCACCACTTCCCTAGTTAGGCACATATACCTAATTGAGATTCTAGCAATCTGATTTTCCTCCTCCTACTAATTTACCTGTATAATCTTAGCTACGTGTACTGGGTGCAACACTCCGGCTCTACTTCACGCAGACGCCCAAGGATTGTCACATATCCAACAGCAGAAGCCCCAAGGCAGCAAAGCTGTACGCTTGCGTTGGCTTAATTCACTCGTTCACTTCGCTGACTGGATAGAGATTTGAAGTATGAGATTCATTAACCAGGGTCCATGTACATACTGCCAGAGACTTCGACACCAGAGCGGCTCTAAGGCATTTATCACTAAACCATACATTACCGCGCGCTAGATTTCAGTATACTAGTATCAATCTACGAGGACGTTTTGGCTTCTTGTTTTTTCATCGCTTACATCTTACAGCCACACCGAAAATGCAAGGGGGCTTCATGCTGCACAATGTCAGAGTATATTGCAATCTTGGCGTTACACCCTTATGCCTTACCTAGTCTCATTCTTACTGTTCCGTCTTCAGAATAACTTTGGATTGCCGATGCCTCCTTTGCTCTTCTTAATCGATCGAAACATACTCGTCTCCAACGTAGCATGTCTATGACGACAGCGGCTACGAAGACATGTCATATATTGACTCCGCAGCAAGTTACGAAACGCATGTTCTCGTCACACAAGGCCATTGTGACAGACAGTATGGCTTGGCGATTCTTCCTAAGCATCAGTCTCGTGAGTTGAGCGCCAAATGGCTGCTGCGTGGGTTGCTTCATGAGCCTCTACTGCCCATATGATGCAGCCGTTGCCGTTCGCTCAAGACCTTTGGGGCTAGATTCTGAGTGACAAAAGACATCAACGGCACCACCACTGGTGCTCGTGGATCATGTGTAGGGGCTGAGGCCTGTCTTTAGCACATGCATGTGTAATACTATTGTATTACTGCATTAGCATCGACAATAGTAGACATATGACGTGCAGCAACCCCAATTCGACTTCGCCGAGTTGATCAGGGGTTCGCACACGTTGCTGTCTTACCCGCTCTGTTTGGAAATCTGCGCCTTGGTGTCCTTGTCATAGACAGCCCGATTGTATGGGTATTTCTTTTCGTACTTGGCCCTCGAAAGTTGGTTGATCAAGTACAGACTCAGTATCTAAGAACCAGCGAGTTCCGGAGCAGCCTGGTGAACTCGGATCTCAATTACCCCAGGCGTATCCAGAGCATTAAACGTTAGCTCGTTGAGGATAACGGAGTCCCGTGTATGGAGTAACGTATCCATGGATGTGAATTTTCGCGCATGCTCCTTATTTGCCAGGGAATTATGCTCTACCGCTGTCCGAAACGACAGCCTTATCCAAACGAAAAGGGGGGGGGGCTTTGCAGCTTCTCATTCGAGCCTTAAGCATCAATACCCCGCGCCCTTAGAATGGTAACAAAAGAAGTGATCAGCTTCAGCGTTGAGTTATTTTATTAGCTCTCCATGACTATGTTACCAGAGCCTGCACAATACTCTTACCGTTACCCTCTTAGCCCTGCTTTTTGTTATTACTTCATTTGATGACGATATTGACATCATGAGCTCTTCCCATGTCATCGAATCCAATACCATTGGAAACAACGTCCGGATTCACCAGGGCAATGTGATCCATAATTACGCCAGTGCCCCCTGTGAACCTCGCGTCCTGATTCCTTTCCTCCGCAATGAAGAGCTTATTTGTCGCCGAGATATCATTGACAAGCTGGACAGTATCTTGCCACCATCTGATGAGAGCTCTACCGCTGCCCTCTATGGGCTTGGAGGCTCAGGGTAAGCAATCTAAGCGCTATGATGCCCCTGAGAGACGTCAACGGGTTGCTAAGTACAGGTACCTTTCACACAGCAAAACTCAGATCGCCCTTGACTTTGCCTATCGCCGGTGCCAAGCCTCCTCCTGTTCCGTATTCTGGGTCCATGCCGACAACGAGACGACATTCATCCAAGACTTCAAAGCGATCGCGAAGAAGCTGGGTCTTTCAACCAGTCTCGAGGGTGAAGAATTCTTGACGACCGTACGTGACGGTATCGAGTCGAACCCCCCTTGGGTACTTATTCTAGATAATGCGGATAACTTGGGACTCTTCGGTGTCGACCACTCTGGACAAGACGCTTCGAATCGGGGAGAACATGCATTAAACCTGGAGAAGTTCATCCCACGAGGACCAAGGGGCCAGGTTCTTTGGACGAGCCGCGATGAGCGCATCGCTGGAGGCCTTGTTGCAGCTCGAAGGGCAATTGAAATCCCAAAGATGGCTCCAGATGAGGCGAAAGAGCTATTCGAAAGTATCAGAAATAACCAAGAGAACAGCGATGCCGCAAAAGATGTTGACGAACTTCTTGAAGAACTCGAGTGGCTACCACTCGCTATATCGCAAGCTGCGGCCTACATGAAGAAAACTTTGACAAGCGTTGAGAAGTATGTCGAAAGATTGAAAGATGGTAAAAAACGATGGAGGATTCTAAAGCAATCACAAAGCGACCGTCATCGGAGACGAGATGTTTCTAACAGCATTTTAGAAACCTGGAACATTTCTATGAACTATCTTCAAGCTGAGAATAAGATGGCATATCAGATTTTACACATCCATGCATTTCTAGACAACCAGAACATCCCTACCGAGTTGATCAAACAGGCAGCTCTCTACAGCGACGGTACAAACGATACGGAACTTAGTCAAGAAGCTCACAGTGATGACTCTTCGTCAGACTCTGATCGCGAGGATGATGAGATACTTGAAGCTGTTGTCCGTCTCTGCGACTTTTCATTTTTAAACGTACAGGCCAGTGGGGATGGAAATCGTGCATACGAGATGCACAAGCTAGTACAAGAAGCGATGAGGTACGGGCTAGGCAGAAAGGAGAGAAAGAAAGAGGAGGAATATTTCTTGGTTGCAGCACTTGAGATTACCACCAATCTCTTTCCGGGCAATCGTCTACCCGAGGAATGGAACGAATGTGATAAGTATATTACACATGCCCAGCGGGCGTGTGAGTGGGCTACACTCTGTGGCAGAGAAACAACGACCTTGTGCTTATCGAAGAAGCTTATGGATCATTTATTCGACCGTGGGAGGTGGAGAGAATGTCAGATTACAGCACAAAGAACACTAAAACTGCGAAAGGCAATTTCAGGCGACAACAACACTGAGACGATGAAGATTATGGCGACTGTTGCAATAACTCATCATCTACTCGGTAAGCTTGAAGAGTCAGGAGAGATGATGGAGAAGGTAGCGAGATTACGGCAGGAGATCCTGGGCAACGAACACTACGATACACTACAGAGCAAGAGAATTCTCGCAACGATATATTCTGATACCGGTAAGTATGAAGAGGCAAGAAAACTGCTTTTGGAAATACTGCCACTGCAGTGCCAAACTCTCGGGGAGAATCATAATGAGGTGCTTTTTAGTGTCAAACTTCTCGCATCGGTAGGTTCTACAACTGGCAATCATGAAACAGCTGGAAAAATGATGATGCAAGCTTACAAAGTGCATCGGAGGATTCATGGCCCTAAGCACCCTAGTACAATTACGAGCCTGTCATCGCTTGCAAATATATATCACAGCGCAGGAAAGTATAAAGAAGCTGAGGAATCGATGACGAAAGCTCTGATATTGCTGCGGGAGGTTTTTGGCCATAAAGATCCCAACACACTTTGGAGCATGGGAAAGCTTGCAATGATATATCAGCGACTGGGCAGAGATGAAGAGGCAGAGGGACTAGCGGTAGAAACACTGGCACTGATGCGGGAAGTTTTTGGCGATATGCATCCTTACATGGTCGATACTACGTGGGTTCTTGCAATAAGATACCACACAGTTGGCAGACAAGAAGAGGCGGAAGAAATGAGGGCAAAAACACTGGAGTTGCAGCGGCGGATAACTGGCGATGATAGCCCTCCAGTAGTCAAGCTTGCGGCATATTTCGAAGAAGTATTTCGCGTAACGGATACGGGGACAGAGGAAGCGACATAGGTAGACCCAGTTTCGAAGATGGGGTTGAGCTATATTCACCATTGTCACTCTCTCTGGATCTCAAATCTCTGTAGCCGCAGAAAAGGTGGGTTATTATTCTAAATAAACACACACGTACACTGTTAGTAACAAGTTACAGGTCCGAGTTCCATAATCTTGATATCGATCCATAGTTTACGATACAACATACTCTTCCCTGTCGAGAGAATAATTTCTCCGTATCGCGCGAGCCACCGTTATGAGAAACCTGCAGGGTACGCGTACATTAGACGGAGAAACTTGTCCAAACTGTCGAGAGAGAGCTGATGGCTTCGTTTTTGTTTGATGAGTGTGAGCTTGATGACAGGATTGTGCCCTGGAAATGAGCCTATATTTCTAGAAATACAATTTAGTGCAAAATCAAGTGCTTTCATTACAGCAAACTACTTAAGATTCTCTCCGCAAGCACACAACTCCAACGTGGTACAGCTCAAACTACACAATCGCTACCCACTATTGAATGCAATTACCAGTACAGTCTTTCATTCTATTGTTGCATTGTAGCTGAGAAGTTTTCTTCCTCCCTAAACATGAAAATATAAGGATACTTGGTGATATGTTAAATTGACCGACCATGCTTTCACATTGTTCAACTTTTAATGGCTAATCAGGGCTGGACCAAAGAAAGTTGCAGTCTGAAACATTCCACTTGTCCTTTTCAATATATCTTACAAGTCACCGAAAACGCCGAAATGACCGTTACTCCAGGACAGAGCACTACCACATTCTCATAACTCACCACCTGGGGTATCCGTGGAACCACATCATCACTCCACAAGACCTGGCGGTTCAAGCTGATCCAACCCCCATCCTCTATCCCAAAAATCGTCGTTGAGATATCTTATCAAGTGTTCGAAGCCGATTGCATCGTGAGTTGAAGGAGGAGTCTTGCTATTGTCGAAATCTCCAATCGGCTCTGGTACGGACTCGATTATATGATGCATGAGTGTATTCGATGGGGTAATAGTCACAGATCGATCTTCCAAATTGGACGACCTAATACAAGCTGATAACATTTCGACGATGTCCACGTTTTCATCATCGTTCTGTGATGGAGTGGGCGGTTCGTCAGTTACCATACTGCTTGACGGTGTTTTCGCTGATGAAGTGACAACAACGTCGTTATCGGTCGTGACATGTGATTTGATGGGACCATTCTCTCCGGGAATAGTAAAACTAAAGTCATAATTGTCCCAAAATTCATCCAGATCAGGCATGTATCTTACTCTTCGATTAGGGAATACTCGATCCTGCATATGGTCTAGCCTTCGCCTCTTGGCCCTGTGCGCATCATCTGTTGTCGGTGGTCTTACAACCTCTTCGTAAAGGCGATTGAGGATTTTGTAAGAATGCTTTGGTATCGGCGCGCGGTGCTCCAAAGCTCTCATCACGCCAAGCGACCCCTCGATTGCTCTCAATACTGATTCGCGCATTGGCATGCTCGAATCTATATCATGTATCATTGCAGAGCACAAGAGCACGGATACGTCGAACATGAAGAATAAAATAGTGTGGTATGTTGGATCATTGGGGAAAGCAAACCGCAGAAACTGGAATAGTCTGTTCAAGTATCTGAGAGCCCACAATGTGCCATCTCTTTGAAGCTGTAGATACTCAGCTAGAGATCCCGTCGACAGCGGTATAATGAGAAATGGCCGCAAGGGGGATAATAATGACAACGTGCCCATCATAGTAAGGCTGAATCGCTGGAATCTAAGCCATGGATAACCTTCATCCAGACTTGTGTCGGGGTTTCGCAGAGAGAAGTGAGGCGGCAATCGCGCGGCCCAGCTCTCTACGATGTTTCTGTGTCTTCTAGCATCTTCCGTTTCTTCCAGAGGCCCAAGCTTCCCAAACGCCTGTAATAGTGCGCTCCCGAGTTCGGATTGAAGCGACATGAACAAGCCGGGAGAGGGTTGGGGCTCTTTTAGCTCTTCGTCTGGTAGGATTCCGGGCGGTTTGGCATAATGAAGGTTGGGCTGCAGAATAAGGGGGTATGAGATCATGTTTCCAAGCTGCCTAAACGCTTGTAGAGTTAGAACATACATCAACGTATCAGAGTCCAGCAGAATAACTAACCAATCCCACGCGCAAATGATTACCCACGCTCGACTCCCCATTTCCAAATTGTATTCGAAAAGCAGACTTGTATTTTCTTCATGGTTGATATCTAGATGAAAATTAGAACGTTAAGAACAGCATATGGATAGACCAGCTTACCCATTTTGCTGGCAATTTGGACGGCAGTCGCCAAATCACGCCGGCATTCAGGATATCGAACCCTCGCCTTGAACCAGAGGGACGAATGCAGATAGGTCTGAATGGCGTGTATATCATATTTTCCTGCTGAAATCCTCGTTGCAACCTTACGACCTGTCTCATGATACTTCTCGGATAATTGGTGAACTGGGAGACCCTGCTCCGCCTCGAGCGCACGCCGAAGTGCATCGCTGGGATACTGAGCTGAACATGCACAGACCATCAGGAGGAGAGCAGTCCAATGAAGATCAACGTGATTATCATTGTAAGCACGGCTGCACCAATCTTGGTACTCTCGCCTAAACATTACAGGATGAACAATGTAGTAGCGAAAGTTGACAAAGTTCAGAAAGTTATCCACTAGAGCATCTGTATTGAGTCAGTACTTGGTAATAACTGAAGGGGAATGAGGAGAAACAAAGTCTCACCAACACATGACCTAGACGGGAGAACCTGAAAGGCTTTTTGCAAATGAGGAGAGCGGCCAGGCTTGAAGGAATCTGGCATTATACGCCGTCTCTCCTGGGCTGCGGTGTTAGCGGAGGCGAGGTACTGTAAACATGAGGACTGTTAATGATGCCTCACATCTGAAGGTACCTTGCGAGGGCCGCTGTAACTTGAGGCAACGTGGGAAGCAGAGTAGCCCAATTCCTCGAGATCGATATCACTGCCGTCACTATCGCCATCCACTGGATCGAGTAACTCGTGAGAATAGCAACACAGTCCCTCGATTTGCGCCACCAACTGTTTGAGCTGAGTCCGGCGCTCCTCGGGGGATTTCACATCGAGAACCGTCTGAAAGACACAGTTGGTAGAGGAGCCTCTATTGCCACAGTGTAGACATGGCCAATAACGAGTACACTAGGGGAGATATACATGTTAGACAAATGTGCCATTAAAGGATGCCGAGAGTGATGACAAGTTGTACCGCAAATAAATCCAGATATAGCAATATTCCATGTGAATGAGAAGACTGGAGAGACTAATGAACGGATCCAAGGCATACCTTTTGTTTCCGGCGTTTGCACTCGGAGCAAGCCGTGCGGAGGATGGTTTGAGCCTCTTTGCTCTGTTGTGCTATCAACGCCTTCTGCGCCCTGATGCAGGGATGTTCTCCAAAGTCTACATTCCAATCTGCCATGATGGCACTGAAAGAAGAAGACACTGGTCAAGATCTTCCGATAAAGGGGGAAGAGAAGGAGAAAACGGGCTGGAGCTGCTCCCTCCCGTGTCAACGGCGGGAGACCAAGGATCAATAACGGCGCTTCGGCAATGGCCCAAAATGTGGTGGAGATGATGGTGTCAGCGGCAACGGCTAGGGCAAAGCTGGAGGATTATTAGCGGACGTCCGTGCTGCAGAGAAGAAGGGAAAAACGGGCGGACGTTGGATTGATGGCGAAAGCTGAAAGTTGCATGTGGAATGTACATCTCGATGTATAACGAGGACATGGAGTCACTTGACACGGGCGGCAAGCAGCCTCTTTAATAGAATAAAAGAAACCCGAGCTGGACATCACATCAGCGCTCACCTGGACAAGGTAATGCATCAACAATATTACTACATGAGGATAAAAAAAAAGCAATAACAGAAGCTGAGCGCTCTGGCGTTTGCCCGCCCGGGTTCCCGTTTCCATCCCCTGCGTCAAGCCATGTCTCAGCGCCGCCCAGCCATCTGGTTCACCCATTGACATGTATGGATGTATTCTCACAACAGCATCTCTCTCAAGCCTCAATGACTTCAAGAGTATTTGTCCAGACGGCCCCCATTCTGGATGCACTTCTCATACATAATCTTGGCCTCATTGTCTTGGCCGCAGTTCATGTCAAAGCCGGAGCCCGCTCTGCAGTTGCTCGGCACAGCAACCGCTGTTGAATCTATCCCGGTTGACATGACACGATATCAGCCCTCCATTCTTGCTCCCTGTCGTAATCTTCTATTTTCCGCTTGTTGAACCCAGAAACCCCGTCAGGGCAGATCGGTGTGACATGCCCGCACCGGGTGCCTGAGAAAATCGACACTTGTGCGATGCTGCACGGCCGTCAATGCGTTACAGCCCCAAAGCCAATATCAACGATACCTCGTTCATTTAATGAGTTGTCTATCTCTATCAAGGTAGGTCAGCTTCATCTCTAATACATTCAGATGAGCAAGAATTGTACATGTACTTTGTCAGATGGCTTCTCGTACCACCACCATCCAAGTCACAGTCCCTCCTCATTGCCCAAACTCGGCTCGTCTCTCATCCTGCCTGTCCCAAACCAACCTGGCCGAGTCTCACCGCAAGCGCCCCTCGACGATCCCTTCTTGGCAAATTGCCGGCCTTGAGCACTAGACGGCCTATCTAGCACACACTGACGGAGTACAGAAACAGGGAATTGTCCCAAGCAACGGCTGAGTGGTCCGAATGGGGGCATGGAGCCCGTATTCCAGACTACGAAGTGGTCGAGCACAAGTACAAGATCTCGGGGTATTTCATCCCCTGTGCCAGTTGCGATAAACAGGGCAGTTCGAGGTTGCCGAGATGGAAGCGACGCAATCTCGCATTTAAGCACGTACATACATGTACGAGTAGTAGGGATTCACCGATCAAGCCATCCTCAGGCACTCTGTCAGATGTTTATGTACGCATTCTACGTGCGTTTATAGGCAGATGTGGAAGATTTCACAGTCCATTTCATTCAATCTATATTCAATAACGCCCTCATACCTAAGCAAAACTGCAAAAGCACATCGCATCAAGCATCGATTCAAAACCTCAGCCGCTTGTTTGCTGTTTCATTGCCCAGATCCAGTCGAGTCCGGATCCCTGCAAAACGGCCAGCGCCATTCCCACTGTACATTGCTCCATGTCCCCTGTAAGCCCACTAGGAGTAAAAGTTCTCCCCCTGTAGCAGCACATGCAGCTAGAGATCACTTCATCTCTCCTCCATCTCAAGCATCTTCGCCCATGTCGATTCAGCTGGAGCTCGCCGGACTCGGCCTCAACAACCCTCCAAACCAACCCTGCAGCCGCGTCCAGCCATCTTCCGCCTGCAGCCCCGTCACCAGACCAATGTACCCGTCGGGACGCACCGCTACAACGGCCCCCCTGCCTGCATCAACGCCATAGTGCTCGTGTGCCTTGCCAAGCTCGTCGGCAAACACCTTGCCATAGTCCCAGCCCAGCCTCTTGTCGAACGGGTGGAAGACGTCGTGCAGATCCTGCAGCAGCTCAATCTTGTCCCGCGGCGCCGAGTGCACCAGCAGCACGTCGACAATGGACGGGTCCTCCTCCGTCCTCCACTGCGAGGATCCCGATCCTCCTCGCGGGTCGGGCCCAGGAGCGAGGCTGATGCGAGGCGACTTGGCCGGCGACAGCACGTTGGCCTGGAGCCAGCCGCCAAGCTCGTTGACCGTGGCCAGCTGCGTGGCTTGCGAGATGTCGCCCCCGAACACGACGACGCGGAACCGGCCATTGGACGGCAGATGCAGCTGCAGCTCCCACGGCCGGGCGTCTGCCTGCGACTGCACGATTTGCGACGCAAAGCGGCGGCCGGGCTGGCAGTGCGCGGCAGATCCGGCTACGCTCGTGACCTGGCTTTGAGACGGTGTCTCAGCGCCTTGCAAGCCTCCTTTCGAACCGCTGTCTGATGTGAGAATGCTGGGTTGATAGCGGATGCCGACACCTGTGATGAACTGCGGGTTTTCAATTAGCAAAGACGTAACATAGGCCTCGCGGCCAATAGCGATCCCCATTTGCAGCCCGATCTGGAAACCAAGATGGCATTGTCTGAATCGGCAGGGTAGACACCTTCACAGGGTGTCTCACTTCCCGATCCCACCACTCACCGACTCAGCCCAAGGGACATCCTGGCCATCTACCGGGTAATGGGGAGCGCTGGGAATACGAAGATGTACACTTACCAATTGTGCTTCTTTGAAAGCCTGTTGAAATTCACTCATGGAAGATCCCGCCTCGTCAGAGGCATCCTTGGCCGGCCTCCCTGAGAAGAGCCTGGAGAACTTGTGGTCAAAGGCAATGAGCTGCCGAGCAATCTGCCTCCGCTCCAGCTCGTACGTATCAAGTACCTGCGGCTGTAGCAGCTTCTTGCATACGAGGCCGAGCTTCCACCCAAGGTTGTACGTGTCTCCCATGGAAACGTTCATGCCTTGGCCGGCCTTGGGCGAGTGTGTATGCACCGCATCTGCCTTCGCGTTAGTAAACCCGGCACCGACCTCTCGAGCTAAATTGTCTGCAGGGATTGCTCTCTCACCTCCTGTAAGGAAAACACGGTTGTGTTTGCTAAAACGATCGCCGACTCGTTGCCCGATTTGATATGCTGTCCACCTGCGGATGTTTCACTCAGCCTTTGTACTTCACTCCAATAGCTTCCTCCGGTCGGTGGAACACAGCGTCCCTCCTTGTGAGACTTACCAATCAATGTAGTGGTAGTCAAGAGTGTAAGGGCTCAGAATCTTCCTTGCCGTGTCCAAGATGACATCTGGGGTGATTTGTGACCTGTCAACACGTCCTGTGCCCGTGGATACGGATTTGAGTTGTGTGTAAACTCGGACAAGCTTGTTTTCTCTCGGAATGATCATGATGGCTCCGAACTCGGCGCTGTGTATCATGCACCTGCTTCTAATGTCCGCTGTCATAACTTGTCAGTCTCGTTCAATGGGACATCCAGGGACTCTGAAAGCTCTCACGAAAGTCTGTGATGGGAACAATGTCCAGCACTCCCCTATTTGAAAAGTCATTAGCGCTTCTATCGATGCAAACTCAACCGATGAAGAAAATCTCTTACCAAATGGCATCAGTCGATTCACCCTTCATCTGGTACTCTTCACCAAGCGTCTTTCTCACCCACGAATGCGCCCCATCACATCCAACCACATACTTGGCTCGAACCTTCTCCTCTCTCCCAACACCCTCAGTCTTCGCGAGCAGCCTCTCTGTATCATCCTCCGCTAAGTTGCTCCTATACAGCCCATCTTGTAGATTACTTAGCCTCTGCGTCGGGGTAGCTTCTTCCTCAGTCAGATGGCGCAGCGTCACTTCTACGGGATAGGCATCTTCATCATCAACACAGCTCTCGTCAATGTGCAGCGACGTAGGCATCACGCTCCGCTCAATCTCGACCAATGGGTGTTTGGGAGAGGTAGAGGCCCGGATTGTATCGATGAGGATGCTCTCGACGCGGCCTTGGTGCAGTACGGCCTCGGTGAACCGCGAAAGATTCGGTTGAGTATTGGGACCGCGGTGGTGGCGACGAATCTTGCCATCCTCGCCCGGGTTCCAGAAACTGACCTCTATCATCGCACGATTAGAACATCTCTTCCTGACAGCTCCGACGTCGTGTTATTGCGGCACATCAAGGATATTAACAACTCACCATGCATATGGTTTGCCTCGTGCCATACTTTGTGTCCGATGCCGAAGCTGTCGAAAATCTCTAGGGTACGACACTGAAATCTGGTTTGCGCCATGTTAGACTTATATCCTCCATGTGAATACACTGTGTCGACTCGTCTCCGAGCCTTGTGTGGTGAATTTACCCGTCTGCTTGACCGGACGCGATTTTGCCAGTTCGCTTGTCCACGACTCTGGTCTTGACGCCCAGCTTGGCCATCCAAAGGGAGAGCATGAGGCCCGCGGGGCCGGCCCCGACAATGAGCACATCGACCTTTGATGCTTCCATGGCCAATTGAATTTACCAATGGTTGCTTTAGTACCTCGTGAATTATAGTATTAGAGAGAAAAAGAAGTTAATCTTGTCGGAGAATTAAATAGTCTACGCTCTGCATCTGAAGCTCTTATATAGTCAATATGGGGTATACGCGATCTACAAGTATATGTGTTACCCTGTTTACGAAGACATGACAAAGTTTCATCGCTCCACGGTTTTCGGGCCTAAGTAATCATGGGTCATCTCTGACCAACGCTCCCCTCATCCGCCACAGCACCAACAAAGACAAGGGCAGCGTTGAATCGGTATGATTTGTTTCAAAGAAAACTCTATTTGATGTCCATTCGTCAGCTTTCCCTTCCCCATTCCCCCGTACCCCAGCATTCGTAGTCTACACACTCATACTTCGCTTGGCTGATGATTTTCTTTGCCACACTGTCTTCTCAGTCACCGCCGATGTTGCGGCCCAGGTCTCTCCGCACTCTCCACACACGCGAGCCGACTGGCCGCTTTTGGCTGCCGCGAAGCACCTCGACCCACGGAAGGGCGGTGGAAGAGCCGGCACTTGGGTCCGAAGGGGCCTCGGATTCTGCTGAGACTTCCTCTTCATCCACCTCTTCGGCTTCATCCTCATCCTCGTCCTCGTTTAGGTCTTCATTCGCTATTTCGAGGGGCTTGTCTGCGTTGACATCGTCCTGCTGGGACCGCTCGTACAAGTCTTCCGTGTATGCCCATGTCGGCGCATCGAATTTCCCATGAACGAGCACAATCTGTCGACCCTGAGACCGTATTTGCTCTATTGTTTGTAGCGGGATGGGAGTAAGAATCTCAAGTGTTTGGGTAGTGGTGTCGATACCGCGGATGAGAACGAGGCCGATGGTGCGAGAGAAGCGAGGGTCAAGAGTGATGTCGCTGGCATTTGGAATATACGGCAGTCCTTCCGGAGTCCTCGAAATGAAGTCTTCTAATGAGGAATACCCGTCCTCATCGCCACGATCCTCTGACAACTGGGCAGTGGAAGCTAGATTGCGAAATGCTTTGGGATCCTCCACATCTACCGCCGCAAGGATCATTCCATTGATTGCTTGTGAGAGCAGCTCCGATGGAGACTGGTAGTCATAGAGTAGAATACCGAGAATTCCCCGCTGATTGCCAGAGTACCGAACCTGCAACGGAGGGACGGACGACAGTGGAGATGGGTTCCAGCTCGGCCTCAGTCCTGGGCTCAGCTGTTTGTGGTCTTGCAAGTGGAAATATGACATGGCTTGCATGGCCCTCAAGTGAGCGGCGGTACGGGACGCAAACTCGGATGGCTGCGAGGGAAGGGTAGTAAAGGTTCTCTTGGTTGCGCCGCGTAAAACGTCAACGACATCTGCAGGGCCGTCTTCAGACATGTAAATCACTTCTGGAGGGTTCACTCGAGAGATGATTTCCACTAGTAGATCCTGTCCAGTGCCCAGAACCCAACCTGGAGTGTTGATGAGAAGATGACAATTGCGCACCAGTCTTCGATAGTAGTCAAGAAGATCTAGCACGCATTCCAAGTAGTGCTCTGGGGCGGCTGCTGGTGTCATGGACGCCAACGCATGACATCTGATGACTCTGTAGGATTCGTCGTCTATATTTGGATGCGTAAAGGCTGCGCTTAGGTTGGGCCGGGTGATGTGAACGAGCGAGATCGTCCCGCAAGGTGCATACTCGGGCTGGCCAGGATCCAAGTCGAGAACAGCGATGCCATGAGTCCCCGTTCGTGTTGCCTCACTCGTCAAGAAGCGGTTTACGAGCATCTTGGAAAAGGTTGACTTTCCCGCAGACTTGGGGCCGCATACAAGCGTTGTGAAAGGGCCACCCTTGGCTACGGAAACGAGATCGGCCAGCTTCTTGTTCCATGCTGGAGGAGATGAGAGTTCTTGTATGACGCACTTCTTAGGAGCATCATCAGAACTGCATACCTGACACTTGTTAGCCGCAAGTGGCGTAAGTAGAGTCAGATTTTGGACATACAATCTGGAACGTTCGTCCCTTTCCAAGGCTGTTATCCGTAGAGTCATCCTTTGACTCTCCCCATATGCCTCTGAAAAGGGGGGACAAACGGCTTAACCGTCGCAACCCGTCGGAATTTGGGTCATGGTAAAGCTCCAAGCTGACCCTCTCGGATGTTCTGATAACTGGAATTGCATGACAGTGGGGGGCGTGAATCCAGTGTATAGGACCTGATGGCTGGAGAGTGGCTCCAAACACAGTCGCCTCGCCAGCAATGACTTTGATCCCAAAGCTGCCAATGACAATGAATCGCTAATCACAGATAGATTAGCTACTACGAGAGTTCACAGTTATATAGATGCTAGAAACATACCTCGCTGTCTCTGAGCTTTAACGCAATAGTGCCCTTTGCTGTTGTGCGGCAGTTGTTTTTACTAAGCAAGAAGGACGAGTACATAATCCGAGAACTTGAAAGAACGGCTTCTTGCGTAGATGGATCGCTTATGGTTTTGAAAGTCTTTCGTAAGTCTACTGTTGTACCATGAAAGGATCAAGCAGGCCTACCTCATCTTACCACCTTGCGAGATAGAAGCTCTGGAGTCGCCACGACTGAGTGGCCCTCTTGACCCATTCTTCTTGGGAGACTTGGGAGGTTCATTTTGACGCTTCAACGTTTGTAGAACACTGAAGGAGTTGGTTCTGGCTGAAGCTGATTCTTCAGGCTCCGGAGATGAACTGGGCTCTTTGGCTGGAACGTTGGCGACCAAGCGCCGGCGAGCTGCAAGTGCACTTAATGCACTTAATGCTGCTAAGAGTTGGGTCAAATGCGTTAGATTATTCTAAAATTGTTCATAGCAGACTTCTAGTGATGAAATAAGACTGACTTACATGAAGAGGCAGTCTGGGTGTCGAGTTTACGACGCTTGTTAGAAGACATGTCTGAGCAATATTGAGTAGGAAACGATCAAAACCAGAGTAGAAATTAATGAGATTCAGTGGCCAGTAAAGAAGTACTCATGGAATAATTTACAATTCCTCGTAACAAACATCTGCTACCAGCTTAGCATGACAAGAAATGCATTGTAAAGGTCAAGTTTCAGAGAGAATGTAATAAGCCTGGCATGCTGGCAATGATTCGCATTTGGCGCTTACAGCGTCTGAAAATGCGCTTATCGATAAGGCATAGCGCACCAAGATTTTCGACCTGCGCCAAACACGTCCCGCCAAATAGCGCGCTTTCCCCAATACGGGCGCGCGTCATGGTGGGGCTCTGCTTGTGCATCTTCAAAATTTCCATCTGGGCTTCGAAAAAAGTTTAGAGCAGCGTTATCCTCTCCAATCTCTCCCACCTGATTGAGCATCCAACCAAGCTCATTGCACCGCGAAAACCCGCCAAAATGGCGCCTAAAGAGCCCTTCAAGATACACTCGCTTAACAAGCACGTCGAAGATACCAAGAAGGGCCTCAGCGCCTCAGCTCAGTACAATCGGCGGCCTATCTCCAAGCCCGCGGCAGCGGTCATCAAGAAGGAGCCCGGTGTCGCCCTTTTCCCAAACAACAATGACAGCGACGAATCGAGCGAAAGCAGCGACAGCGATAGTGATAGCGATGGAGGTAACAGCGCCGACTTTTTGAACAAGATCGGTGCCAATGGCGCAAAACCTTTGACCACTCCCAAACGGCGCAGCAGGGACGAGGAGATCGCCGATAGCGACGTCGAGCGCAACGCTTCTGCCAAACGCGACGCTGCTGCTAAGAAAGAGCAGATTGTGAAGAAGGAGCCGTCCTCTTCCGAGTCCTCCAGCGAGTCATCCAGCGAGTCCGAACCGGAGCAAAGCGAGCCCAAGGCGAAGACAAACGGAGCTGGCGCCAAACAAGCTGCGGCGGTCCAGGAATCCTCAAGCAGCAGCTTCGAGGAAGAAAGCGAGGAAGAAGAAGAGTCTAGCGACGAGGAGGAAGAAGAACCCAAATCTACTCCCAAACCTGCCTCTAAACCTATCTCGAAGACGCCGGTCGCACCTGCCGCCGCTACAAATGGCACCCCTAAGACACCTACCGCCGCACCTGCCAAAGCTTCTGCTTCGAGCAGTTCTAGCGAGGAAGAGTCAAGCGAAGAAGAATCGAGCGAGGACGAGGAAGAAGTACCTGAAAAGCCCGAGGTTTCAAAGAAGCCTGCAGAGGAATCTTCCTCCGACTCAGAGGATAGTGAGGCTGAAGTCGACGATTCCATGCACATTTCAGATCGCGAGATGAACAACCAAGTCGGAACGCCCAATTTTATCGCTCCCGACTTCGCACTGCGCAAGGGAGACGACGGAGCCAACGGCCAGGACGTGGCTCGCATCTGCAATGAAGCAAATCTGCAGGGCAAGCAGTTCTGGTACTTTACGGTTCCCTCCAACGTCCCCATCTCGGTTATCGAGAACATAGAGATCCCCATGGACCGGTCGCAGATTGGAAACCGAGTCTTTTCACATGACGGCCAAGACTATGGCGTCTCCTTTGACACCATTGCGACCAAGAGCTCGATCCAGATCTTGATTCCCTCAGCCAGCGATTCGAAATACCAACCAAGTCAGTTGCCCTCCTAAGCTGCCCCGGGTTTACCTACTTGCCACTAACTAATGTTCCCTTTAGCCCGCAAGCAAATCGATCAGACCATGCACATCAAGAGAATTGCCAATCTCGGAGGTGCCGCCGCTTCTTCCGTCGGCCCCGCGCCTCGTCGCGCTGCTCGACCGCAACCAAAGGGCCTCAGGGCTAGATACCAGCCATTCGGCGTCAACACCCCGATGGGCAACATCGGAGCAGATGCGCCCGGTGACGAAGATGTTGACATGGCAGAAGCGCCTGCAGCGGTAGCCACTCCCAAGTCTACCAAAAAGGAGAAGAAGAGCAAGAAGGAAGGTGCCAAAAAGAAGAAGGACGCCGACGTTGCTACCGAGAGCAATACTACGGATGTGAAATCTAAGGGCAAGAGAAAACACACCACCTCGGAAGATGATGCCATCACTGCTGAGGAACAGTTGAGAGAAGAAAATCAATCTGCGGCGACCAAGGGCAAGAAGCAGAAGACGGCCAGGGTTAGCAGTCCTGATCTCGGAGCAGAATTGCCCTCAACCGCCAAAAAGCAAACTCCTATTGCGCCACCAGCCATTCCGTCGACGGCATTTTCATCATCGGCCACCGCTATTGCCACTCCCTCCAAAGCCGTAGCGGTTACTCCTAGCACGGCTAAGAAGTCGACCAAGAAGACGAAGCCCGAGACTCCAGTGCCCGCACCGCGTCAAACAGCAGTTCCGCTGCCCAACATTCCCGTGACTTCCCGACCAAAGGAATCACCGGTCCCTCTCCCGTCTTCCTCTGCACTCCTCGCTACGCCGGTGCAGTCGAAGAGCAAGAAGAGCAAGAAGAGCAAAGATGAAGTCAATGCCACTGGTTCATCACAGCAGAGCCCCCCACCAAGTGCTCAGGGGGGGGATAAGAAAAAATCCACGATCAAAGCTAAGGGATCGAGCTAGGCCCCTAGATCTCCTTATAAGTTTTGTGGATAGTGTATTTGAGCTTTGGCAACCGAAGTGCACCTTTGAGGATGCATAGGCAGCTACGATAGCCATGCTGAAGGTGATGAGCGGTAGGGGATGTGTTGATTGTTGAGGGTTTACCCTCCACAGGGGCTGTAAGGTCTATGGGGCCTTGGCTGCTCACTTTCGATTTCTATCTGCTCTGGACTGTTCATCAAGAAGAGCTATTCTCGCAATCGGGAGACATTGGCGTTTAGGAAGAAGCAATTTTTTATGTTCTACCAAAAATCCAGGAGAGAGGTTCTATTTGCATTTCAAGGGGTGGACGAGATATGAAGTCAGGATTTCGGAGAGAAGAGACAATTTGCCAAAATGTGACGGGCATTTCACTTTTTTTTCTTTCACGTACATCTCACATTTCGCAGACATGCTACCGACGTGGAGGCCTATTCACTGAGAAGAGTCTCTGGATGGACATGCGTAGGGTAGAGAACCGTCTGACGTACCTTATGTATGAAACTAATAGACTGCAGTAGAGGACAAATGACTTGCAGCCAAGTAACACATGTGAGACCCTGGAAGACGTGGGCATATTCACTTTCTTTTGAAATCCAGATGTCTGAATTACACACAATAGTCTCTCGTGGGCGACACCGAATTAGGCAGACATGGATAGGAATGCTCTGTCATACATTGACCAACAGCCGGGCGAGCAAACGGAATACTATTACGAGTATCTGTGCACCGTTGGCATCAGATCCGGATACTCACCCTGGTCGACCCAGAAATCGTGACCTGGCAGTCGGTTGACAGGACCGATTCGCGCAGTGGATACGTACAACGGATAGGAGGCGCACGAGCAGCGATCGGTCTAACCATCGGTGAGGGAAGAGAGAGAAGCGAGCGAGAACGAGGCTTAGAGAGGCGGTGATCGATTTTTTGGCGGGCGGCGTTGTCCATGCATGTGCATGCGTTCCAGGTACCACTACGGAGGGTTTACAGTACGATACGGGTACATTAGTACCTCTCCATACTTGTTCCCAGCAAAAGTCAGCTACTACTAGGTATACCTTAGTAGGTACCAGGTATCCCCCCATGCAAGCAAACCTCAAGGTTGTGAATGAGGCTGTCGTACAGGGCAAAAAAACGAGGCCATGCATACGTGGACGGAGCGGCAGCGGCAATGCAGGGGCACCGGGCATCGGCAGGGCGAAAAGTCGAGATTTGATTGATCTTGGGCCGCGCGCAGTTTGACATGACCCCCCCTGGCAAAAGGTACTATTTCTGTGGCGAGTACTCGTACTGCTACTTTCCATGGACACAGAGACACGGCGATATACACAAGGTACCTATAGTACCTGACGTGGACGGGTGGCGGAGATGCGATCCTTCTTGGCTGAGCTGGCGGCGTTTTGCTGGGCTGACTCTGCGCCTTGCTGTACGCGTACAGTTACCCCATCGCGATAGGACATTGGGTACGATTTAGTACCTAATGTTACGGGTGCTACTTGCGAAATTGAGCGGGAGGGAGGAAAAAAAGAAAAAGGGCTTCGTCATCCGGGGACAGTTTGCGTGGCTCGTTTCGTGGTGGTGAGACAAAGCTATTGCTCGTGGGTGACTTTAATTTTAAGCTGTGCTTCGTGGGGGATGTGATCGGACAAGGATGGCTCTTTGCACTTTGTTGGGCGATTTCTCCCCCTGTCTACTTAGTAGGTAATGGAGCCATCGCAATTTACCCTTCGCGTATCATGTACCGTTACGGTTGATGACAGCTCTTTGTACTCGTAGATGGGATTTGGGAGCTCGCTTGACTAAGCGCCGGGCTTACACGCAGTTCGTTGGGCAAGGGGAGAAAACTGCCAAGGACAATACGGGGATACGATACGATGAAAGGGATTCGTGCTGATACGGAACGGAGCCCATCAGCATTTAGGGTCCCGCGAGGACTGACTCGGAGTGAAGGAAATATACTGTATCCGTAACCAGGCGACGACAAACACAACAGGGGGGGAAGAGTTTCTGGAGGCAGGGATCTTTTGGCGGTTCAGATCGCCGCGTGTTTTGGGTGTTGTTTCCCTTGCCAAGAAATCAAGGAAAATCGAGGTTTGCTGCATACAGTACGGGCGTGATAAGAGGGAGGGGACATTCTTTTATTAGATCAAGCAAACTCAAAGTGATGTTGGTGGTGGTGCCCCTTGCATGAGGCGTAAGGCGGAGGAAACAAAGAAGGAACCTTTAAGGCCTCGGGCCGTTGAAGGCACTACTGCGAACACGAGCGAAAGAAAAAAGAAGATGGTAAAAAGCAAGAATGACTTCAAAGCCGAGGCAACGTCTCCATCAGAGACTCTACACGGGTCTGCGTTTTTTTTCTTTGCTTTTTTCTTTGCTTTTTTAGCCTATCGGATTAAGCGGA